GCAAAAACCAACCATAAATGAATTTTTGAAGATTTTTTCGAGGACTAACAGATGAATAATTTTTGATCTTTAAGACTATTTTTTTAAGCATCAAAATACCAAGAATCGTGAATTTTTCAAGAATATGTTTTAAAGGACCAATAGGTCGTCTTTTTTTCCGGAATATTTTTCAAGCACCAACCAAACAATAATCGTGGATTTTTTAAAAAATATTTTTCAAGGAACAACAGACCGAATATCGGCGCGTGTTTAAAGGATATTTTTTCAAGGGCCAACTGACCAATAATCCAGTTTGTTAAAGAATATTTTTCAAGGACCAACAAATTAATAATCTTGTATTTTTAAATAATATTTTTCAGGGACCAAAAATCTGGGATTTGTAGATAATATTTTTTCAAGGACCAACCAACAAATAATAGTGGATTTTTAACGATTTGTTTCAAGGACTAACAGATGAATAGTCTTGGATTTTAAAGAATATTTTCTCGGGGAACAACACCCCAATAATCGTGGATTTTCAAAAAAAAATATTTTTTTAAGGGGCAACCAACCAAACTTGGTAAAGTTTTAAAGAATAGTTTTTCAAGGACCAGCAGACCAATAATCCGGGATTTTCAAAAAAAAAAAAAAAAAAAAAAAAAAATCAAGGACCAAAAGACCGAATATCCGCGAGTTTTTAAATAAAAAAACAGTAATACGGAATGTTTAAAGAACATTTTTTCAAGGACCAATCAATCAATAATCTTTATTTTAAGAGGATATTTTTGCAAGGACTAACGTACCAAGACTCGTGAATTTTTAACAAACATTTTTTCGAAGTCTCCTAGTTTCTCCCCCTAACATTGTATCTATAAATAGATCTATATATACTGAACTCCGTCTATATGTATTACTTATTCAAATCTCCCAACTCCCACTTACAAATTCACATCATATTTTACTGACATCGAGCAAAACCATTCATTGACTTTCGTTTGTTTTGTTACTTTTGTTGGCAAGGAGCTTATGTGGATGCAAAAGGACCTTTGCCACCCACATAAGCCCAGCATTGTGTTGCCATTGTACGAATATCTATTTGTATGTCTGTGTGAGTGTTTGTGGATACAAGAAAGAGAGAGAGAGAGAGAGCGAGTTTTGTGAAGGGATTTCATTTGAACTAAAGTTTTTGGTAGAGCTTAAAGCCCAAAATCACATTAAATAAATCTTTGCTACTAATTGCCATTTGCTGAAAAATTTAATTATATCCCATTTATTCAACGAGAATCTTAATTCGGGTGTTGCAGTGGGTTGGATTTCGTTGTTTACGGGTGGTAAACACGGTTTCATTGGGTACACTACAAAAATTAAGGAATATTAAATTCCTTGACAATTTTTTAATAGCATGGTTGTTAGTCCAAAAACCACGATTATTGGTTTTTGGTCCTTGAAAAAATAAACTTTAAAAAATCTACTCTTCGTTCTTACAAAATATTCTATAAAAATCCACGGTTGTTGGTATTTTGGTCCTTGAAAAAATATGTTTAAAAAGAACAATCTTCGTTCTTGAAAAATATTCTTTTTAAAAACCAAGATTGTTGGTCCTTAAAAAATATTCGTAAAAATTCCGTGATTATTAATTGGTTTTGAAAAATATTCTTTAAAAATCTAAGATTATTGGCTTTTTGGTCCTTGAAAAAATAATATTTGAAAATTCACACTTCGTCCTTGAAAAAATGTTCTTTAAAAATCACTTTTCGTCCTTGAAATTTTTTCTTTATATATAGACGATTATTAGTCTTTGAAAAAAATAAGCTTTAAAAAATGCAGTCATCATCCTTGAAAAATAAATATATTTTTTTTAAAATCCACGGTGGTCTCTTTGTCTTTGAAAAAATAAACATTAATCCAATCTTCGTCCTTGAAAAATAGTCTTTGGTCCTTGAAAAAATATGCTTTAAAAATTCACTCTTCGTCCTTGAAAGATTTTCTTATAAAATCCACGACTGTTTATCCTTGAACAAATATTCGTTAAAAGTCTCTGAATGTTTATTGGTCTTTTCGTCCTTGAAAAAAATATTCTTAAAAAATCCACGATTATTGCATTGTTTGTCCTTGAAAAAATATTCTTTAAAAATCCACAATTTCTGATCCGTTTGTCCTTGAAAAATATTCTTAAAAATTCATGATTTTTGGTCAGTTAATCCTTGAAAAATATTCTTTGAAAATTCACGATTATTGAACAGATTGTCCTTGAAAATATATTCATAAAAAAATCACGATTATTCAACTGTTTGTCCTTGGAAAAAATGTTCTTTGAAAATATACGATTATTGAACAGTTTGTCCTTGGAAAAAATATTCTTCAAAAATCCACGATTATTAAACTGTTTGTCCTTGAAAAAATATTCTTAAAAAATCCACGATTATTGAACTGTTTGTCCTTGAAGAAATATTCCTAAAAAATCCACGATTATTGAACCGTTTGACCTTGAAAAAATATTTTTAAAAAATCCATGATTATTGAACTGTTTGTCCTTGAAAAAATATTCTTAAAAAATCCACGATTGTTTAACTGTTTGTCCTTGAAAAAATATTCATAAAATATCCACGATTATTGAACTGTTTGTCCTTGAAAAAATATTCTTAAAAAATCCACGATTATTAAACTGTTTGTCTTTGAAAAATAAATTCTTCAAAAATCCACGATTACTGATCCGTTTGTCTTTGAAGAAATATTCTTAAAAATCCACGATTATTGAACTGTTTGTCCTTGAAAAAATATTCTTTGCAAATCCACGATTATTGAACAGATTGTCCTTGAAAATATATTCTTAAAAAAAAATCCACGATTATTGAATAGTTTGTCTTTGAAAAAATATTCTTAAAAAATCCAGGTTTGTTGGTCTTTTGGTGCTTGAAAAAATATTATGAAAAAAATCACATTTATTGAATTGTTTGTTCTTTAAAAAATATTCCTAAAAAGTCAATCCACTTATTGAACTGTTTGTTCTTGAAAAAATATTCTTAAAAAATCCACAATTACTGATCCGTTTGTCCTTAAAAATATTCTCTAAAAATGTACGATGTTGGTCACTTGAACCTTGAAAAATTTCCTTAAAAAGTCGCGATTATTGATATGTTTGTCCTTCAAAAATTATTCTTTAAAAATTCAAAATTGTTGGTCAGTTTATTCTTGATTATCTTTAATAATCCACAATTACTGATCCGTTTGTCCTCGAAAAAAATCCTTAAAAAGTCACGATTATCGATATGCTTGTCCTTTAAAATATTCTTTAAAAATCCACGATTATTTAGCTCTTCGTCCTTGCAAAAATTCTTTAACAAGCTACGATTTTTGATCCTTGCCAAAATATTGATTATTGATCTTTTTGTCCTTGAAAAATAATCACTATTTGGCCTGTAGGTTCTACAAAAAAAAAAAAAAAAAAAACAAAAAAAAAAAAAAACAATTTCTTAAGAATCCAAGATTATTAGTTCATATGTCGTTGAAAAAAATTAGCTTGAAATTATTGTTGGTTTTTGGACATAAATATCTATTCATCACAATTATTGCTCTTAAAACAAAAATATTATTTCTTGTTCTCTTAATCAGTTTTCCTCACAAGGTCCACGAAGACTTCACTGTCTCAAATTTTAGTTTATATCTATATATTTCCCCAAATGTAGAGTACTTACTCCCACTTTTTGTTTGCTGTAATTGAATTCATTTACACCGAACAAAAGAAACGAAACATTGAAGCAAAAAAACAAAACCCCAACACCAGCGATGGGCCAGCATGTTAACGAAGAGCAACCAAAAACAACAATAATAACATTAACGTAATCAATAACAGCACAACAATTACAAAACAAAAAGGAAAATGTCAAAGCACACGATTATCAGCTCTCGGTCATGATTTGAATTTGCAATACAAAAAACGACCCTCTTACATGCACACACACTCATACATAGGTGTTTTCATTTGAGTTGTTGTGTGGGGAGGTGGGAGTTGAGAGACCCCAAAGAGCAATACATTATTAGGGAGCCAACAATCAGCAGCGGCAGAGAATCACAGCAAGAAAAAAAAATAAAAACGAGGACACACGAAATCATTGCAATTTGTTGAAGAGAGAATGAGTAAGAGCACCTCATATTAATAACCTCTGTGTGGAGACAGAGAGTATGTGAGAAAGAGAGAGAGAGATTATGTGTAGAGCACTGCATGTAAATATGGAAGCCATTATGGTTATTAGAATTTTTTTATGAGAAGAGTGGGGGGCAGTGTGGTGGGGGGGGGGAGAGTGTGGAGAATAGAGGTGTTTTGTTTTTGCTCTTGTTTTGTGGCTTGGCTTAAAGAGCAACAACAAAGATGCTTTGTAGAAGATGAGCAACAGCAGCAGCAAACAGTAAAAACCCCAATCCTCTGCAATCAAGAAGGACGAATCAAAGCAAGTACCAGCAGAAGACTTTGCTGGAGTATTCGTCTTGCTGGTTGTTGTTGCTGGTGTGTTGGATTTTTATGATAAAGTGGGTGGTGCCAGGATTGTCTCCCCTCTCACAAGGGGTTCAACCTTCTCATGTTGGTGCTGCTGTTGTGAAATGTTTGCTGTTTTGTGTCATTGTTGTGAGTTGTAAAGTGGGTGGTTGGTTGGTTGGCTGGTGTGGGTGGGTGGGTGTTTGTGGTTGGCACATTGGTGGTGTTGGTCGAGGACTGATTTGGTTGGTGCTTGTTGATGGTCCATAAATGGTGTCGTCTGCGGCACACACACAGACACTGGGCCAGACAGACGCCCATGCAAACATTAAAATATGAATCACAATATCTTTGATGCTCAATACCAACAATAGCAGCAGCAACAACAACGACAAGGACTTAATACAATGTGAAGGATGGCAGCGACGTCAACAACTACCATGCTGACGATGATGATGCTGATGAGGCTGATGACGACAACTTTACTTGTGCTGTGCTCTTTGCTCGTTTCTGATTGCGGGTTAACATAAATTCTCACATGGATACATCACACGCACACATACAGACACTGGCACTTGAACATTGTTTTTGTTGTTGTTAAGGGTTGGTTTACATTTCCATTTTGATGTGGACCCACAAAGAAAGCCCAACAACATTCCAAATCCTCCAAGCTTCTGTCCCGGAATTGCTCGGCATGCCATCCTCTGTGAGAGTGTTTGAGTGTATGTGTGTGTGTGACGTGCGTGATGGCATCGTGTACTGTGATGTTGTGATAAATCTTAGATCGTACATCGAAACTTTAACATCGCGGATTCACATTTAACCTGTCGTTCGGTCGGTCGGTCATTCACTATCCGGCCCTCTTCTGTGCATCGTGTTGTGACAAAGCTGTGCAAAACCACTCACCAGCTACCAGCCAGCCAGCCAACAAGGAATTTTCACAACAAAAGTGCTGCCGAACCAAACCGAGCAGGCAGACTAATTAAAAAATAAATTCAAAAATTAAAAATTGAAGTGAATTATTTTCACAAAACCCCAACTACACACACACACACAAACAACAAAAGCAGACAACCAACCAACCAGCCAACCACCAAACAATTAATCACTTTCGTTCGGAATTAATCCTTTTGCCGTTAGCGGAAAGTGTATGCAAAGGTTCCGGGATCCTGTGTGATTCGGTATACAGAATTGTTTGAAAATTAAAGTAAAATTCACAAAATAAAAGGAATTTAAAGAAATTTGAAGCAAAAATTGAATTTTAAAAGAAAAGAAGTAATGTTCGAAATAAATTGTGCAAAAGTGTGTGTAAGTGTTTGAGTCAATACGTTGTAAAACATTTAATTGAAAATTGTGAAAAAACCCCTCGGATTTGACAACTAATATGAATAAAGAGGACACCGTGACAATATCACGTCCTTTAGCTCAAGGTAAATAATTGTGGAAAGGTGAAATGATTGTGAAATATGTTTGGTTGGAGGAAAAGACAAATGCCGGCGGAAAATTGAGTTTTCCCAGGACAAAGATGTGTTCCACCTATCGTGATTTTTCTAAAAATAATTTTCATGGACCATTCACCAATAATCTTAATATTTTTTATATGAGTTTATAATAATTTCTTGGGAATATATTTTGAAGGGCCAAAAAGACTACCAATTGTGGAATTTTGAAACAAAAAAATTAAGAATCAGCAGACCCATACTCTTTTTAAAAATATTTTTTAAGAACCTACAGTTTTATAATCATGGACTTTTAAAGAATCATTTTTCAAGGACCAACATATCAATATTTTTGAATTTTTAAAGAATAATTTTAGGTACCGTGGACTTTTAAAGAATTTCTTTACAAGGACCAACAGACTAATAATCTAAGATTTTTAAATAATTTTTTCAAGGACCACCGGATCAAAGCACTAATAGACCAATGACTAACAAATCAATAATCGCGTATTTAAAAAAAAAAACATTTTTTCAATGAACGTCATTCCGTTTATTTTGGATTTGTTCGAGAATATTTCTGCCAGAACAAACAGGTCAATAATTATAAAAATTTGAGAAGATTTTTTTTGACTACCAAGAGACCAATAATTGTGGATATTTTTTAAATATTTTTCAAGGATCAAAAGACTATTAATCGTGGTTTCTTTAAAGATATATTTCATGGATTTTTAACGCATATTTTTCATGGACCTACAGGCCAATAGCAATGGATTTTTAAATAACATTTTTAAAGAACAAACAGACCAATAATCATGGATTTTTGAAAAATGTTTTTTTTTTTTAATAATCGGTTTTGTATATTTTTACAAGGACCAACAGGGTAAATTCGTGGAACTTTGAAGAATATTCCTTCAAGGACCTACAAGGCAAAATTGTGGGTTTTTAAAAATATTTTTCTAAGGATGAACCGATAATGGTGTATTTTTTAAAAATATTTTTCAAGGGCCCAGAGACCTACAATTTAGGGTTTTCAAAAATACATATTTTCAAGGATCAACAGACAGAAAACCGCGAATTTAAATAAAATATTTTTTCAAAGACCAAGAGCGCAATAATCGGGGATTTTTAAAAAATATTTTTCCGAGAAAAAAATACCAATATGGAATTTAAAAGAAAATTTCAAGGACAAACATTCATGGATTTTTAGATAATATTTTTTTCAAGGACCAACAGACCAATAATGATGTATTTTTCAAGTATTTTTAAGAATCGATTAAAGAACAAGAGACCAATAATCCTGAATTTTTAAAGAATATTTTTTCCAGGACGAAACTTCTAAAAACCTTGTAAATGGGGATTTTTAAAGGATGTTTTTCAAGGACATTCAAACTAATTTTGAAGAAGCTTCAATGGCCCAATTATCTTGATTTTTTTATAGAAAATCTTCTCAAGGAACAATTGATAAAAAATCACGGACCTTTCTGCAATGTTTTTTGTGTATTTTTTAAAAATATTTTTCAAGGACCTAGATGCTTATAAACATGACTTTTGAAATAATATTTATTTCATAAACTAACAGGGATTTTCAATGAATATTTTTTCAACGCCCAACAGATCAATAATCGACGACTTTTTAAAGAATATTTTTAAAGGATCAACGGAATAATAATGACGGATTTGTAAAGGATGTCTTTCAAGGATCAAGAAACCAATCATTTTTATTTTGTTAGTTTTTAATAAGAAAAATGATTCTAATTTATTTTGAAATATCTTCAAACCATCTGCAAACCCAATGATCGTGGATTTCATAAGAATATCTGTTCAAGGACCAGTGGTCCAATAATTTATTAAAGATTTATTTGTCAAAGACCGACATAGCTAATAAACGAGTTTTTTTTTTTTAATGCCAAATTTTCAATTATTTGCCGTGGAAGGTGTTGCCGATAACGAACTCCAAACACCAAGTTTAAGATAATTTTGTTGAAAATCTTAGCTGAAATCATCAAAATACCAAATATTGGGAGTTACCGTTATATGGAAGGAGGTACCGAAGGCGTGGAACTGTACAGGAAATTTTATGTCATAAGAGGCAGTACCCATTGCGAACTCCAAAAAAAAAAAAAAAATGAAACAATTCCGGTGAAAAGTGTCGCCCAAATGATCAAAATACAGAACATCTGGAGGTACAGTTATAGGGGGCTAGATGAAAACTTTGACATATATAGCCAATTATCTGCCAGAGAAGGTGGCGCTTATTACAAACTTCAAATACTAAATTTGAGGTAATTCTATTGAAAAATGTAGGTAAAATATTTAAAATGCCGAAAGTACAGTAATGTGAGGACTATAGAAGAACTTGGACCTATATACACAGATCTATGCAAGGATGTTGCCTACATGCTAGAAACACAAACTGCCAATTTACAGTCAATTCGGATTAAAATTGTGACAAGAGCTTAAGAAGATTTGGCAGAGGTATTTCCGAGCTCTATAAGATATGTGGTACCAAATATCGTTGATGTCGAATGCATATTACGAATGTGAGGGACTTAAACGCCAAATCGGATGAAACATATATATGGGAGCTATAGCTATATCTGAAATTTGATGTACTGCTTATACACTGACTCCGGTAGGATGTACCAAAATTCAGGGCTTTTGGACAGATATTGACCATTTGGTGCACAATTAACCGGAAATCGGTTGAAGTTATACATGGGAGCTATATCTAAATCTCATCCGATTATCAGAAAGAGATTCTATGAAGATCCTAAAAAATAACTATGTGCATAAAGACATAATACCCTTACAACTATCTGGTGTAGGGTATAAGAACCCTCTCATAAAATATCCAAACACTTCTTCCGCCGTCCGTTTTCATTATCATTTTTCCTCATTTTTCCATTTATCAATCAATTTGTGCGTATTGGTCTGGTCCTTTCTTCAGAATTTATAGTTTTTCTATAGACGGTAGACCTTTTAAAGCCCTCTTATATAGAAAACCTTTTAAAACTTTCCTACGGATATAAGACCTTACGAATCCCTTCTGTAGATAAATTATCTTCCATAGCTATTCAATTGGTAGAAGACCTCTTAGAAAACCATTTAAAGTTATTTTGTAGGTAGAAGTCTTTCCAGAGATCTTCTATAGTTTTTCTATAGCCGGAGGACTTTGCCATATGGCTACAGAGGGCATATATCATTTGATACGGTCAAAACGTGCCTAGTTGAAATCACGGTTTTATACCCTAGGTCTCTTTGGACCAGAGATCAGAGTCGATCTAGCGGTCGGTCCACACATTCTGGTATCTGCCCCACAAAGGGTCAAAACTGTAAATAATTACAACTCTTATAAAATGTGATGTAAATGTCCGATTGTCTTCAAATTTCACACATCGTAATATTTATATTAACCCAAAGTCTGGTGTTAAGATGGAATATATCGGTCCACTCCTTCTGGTACTTCCCCCACAAATGGTCGAAATTTTCAAAACAAAAATATTTTTTTCTGCAAAGAAAGAGAAGCAATAATCCGGGTTTGCTCCAACTTTGCAAATCCTAATATTTGCGTCAGTTCTAGGTCAGGTGCAAAAATGGATAATATCGGTCCACTTCATCAAGTGCCTCCCCCACAAAGGGTAAATATTTTGAATGATTACAACTCTTATGAAATGTGAAGCGATAAATATTGGCCAATTCTTTCGGAACCTACTGCACAAGGGGTTAAGCATTTGAATAATCATAACAGAAGTCAAAATATTTTTAAATAATCGAATATTGGCTGAGGGTATACATCTGTCGGCAAAACCCGTCCGATACTTTGTTACTTGTTTTCTAGGAATGCTAGTTCTTTTATAGGGTTTCTAAAAGTCTTCTATAGACAGATGTTCTTCTATAGATATTCTACGGGAAAAAGACTTGATAAGGTTCTCTTATGAATGACAGAAGACCTTCTAAAGGTCATTTAAAGGAGTTTGATAGAAGAGCTTCAGAAGGTCTTCTAGCCATAGAAGAGCTTCAAAAGGTCTTCTAGCCATAGAAGAGCTTAAGAAGGTCTTCTAGCCATAGAAGAGCTTCAGAAGGTCTTCTAGCCATAGAAGAGCTTCAGAAGGTCTTTAAGCCATAGAAGAGCTTTAGAAGGTCTTTAAGCCATAGAAGAGCTTTAGAAGGTCTTCTAGCCGTAGAAGAGCTTTAGAAAGTCCTTTAGCCATAGAAGAGCTTCAGAAGGTCTTCTAGCCATAGAAGAGCTTCAAAAGGTCTTCTAGCCATAGAAGAGCTTCAGGAGATCTTCTATGCATAGAAAAGCTTCAGAAGGTCTTCCAAATAGTCCTTCTGTAGATATTCCATGAACAATGGATTTTTTTATGGATAGAAGGCCTTTTATCGATCAGATACCCTTCAAAGGCCATCAGGGATATAACATCTTCTATAAGTTAAGTGTGTGTATTGTGTTGCCAACTTCTCACAATAAACATATCTCCGAATTAATGTTAAAACGATTTAGTCAGATCCAAGTCCGGGTCCTTAACACGTATCAAATTATTATCTTAACATTGAGATAATTTAACTCCTTCACAAATACCGGACACGTGATGTTATTTACTTTTTCAAAAGGACGTGCCTAATATCCTTGCTTTACAAAAACACCAAAAATACTTTTCGAAAAATTCAGCTTCATTGTCTAGACAGGCGAATAGACTTGATGCCACCTGAGACTTAGAACAGAAAGTTAACCCTTACTTGCTTAGGATACCAAAATCCGGTTTGTGAGTAAATCTAACAAATTTACATAGAATTGAGAGGATTGAGAAACAAAAAGGGGAAAACGTGGGGGAAGTGGAGGGGGGGAAGGGACAGCCCATTCGGTAAAGGGTTTACATTAAATATGCAAAATGTGTTTCACAAACTTCATTTCATTGGCAGTCAGCAATAACTGCGTGAGGGAGGGAGAGAGAGTGAGATTGGGCGACTTGGTGAACATAGGTATAGAATGGGATGGGATAAGGAGAGGAGGAGAAGGAGGGGAGACATAAAAGAGTAATAAAAAAACAATATTATTATAATGTCATTAGTCATCTAATTGAATTAAAATTTGACTCAATCAAGGTTCTTAGTATTCATGGCAGGCATAGAGCGTGCCAAAAAAACGGGTTGGCGGTGCCGCTGCAAATCGGTTTAGATAGAAATTATGTTAACACTTGTATGCATTTCGGGTTACCCCCTCCCCCCTCACAAAAATATATTTTTCAATGAAATCCAGGGGAAGGGTGTTTTGTGGCACATAACCAGATTTGTGTAGAAAATGTTGCAAAACACGACGTGGAGGAAATGAAGGAAGGATATCAATGATATCCTTGTTACAAAAAAAAAACTAAAAAGTCAAATGGGATCTCTCCCACCCCTCTCCCTTTTTGGTTCTGCTCTATCATAAGTTGAAAAAATTAACTTGTGAAAATTCAAACATATGACATTAATCCCGACGGCATTAAACCACAGTTGGTGTTTCATTTTGGCACTCGGGTTCGGAAGGATATGCCAAAGTGGAACAAAAACTGAAAATAGTAGCAGCCGAACGCTAAGCCTACTAGCTGACAGTGCCAGTTGTTGTTGTTATTGTTGTTGTTGTTGCAAAAACATAACTAATGATGGAATGAATGACTGGTAGTTTCCATCAAAGCAAAACAGTTTCCAGGGGTTAAGTGGCATCGCCTGGCAATTTTGTGTGCCGAAGGATGTCTGAGCGTTTTGTTGTTGTTGTTGCTGTTGCTGTTGTAACAATCAAATTAGGGTGTGATGTGAAAACAATTGCCTCTCCGGCGTTCGCCCGGCTCATTCGTTCCCCCTTGGGTAAAATTTTGTTTGTTTGCCGATTTCGTGTGTAATGTGATGGCCTTAATGTTGTCCTAATTGAATGTGTAAATAAATTCTGCAGAAAGGACCAGACCACCACACACAAATTGATTGATAAATGGAAAAAAATGGGACAGACGGTCGTGGAAGAGCTGCTGTGACAAAACAAGTGATTGGCAAATTTTATGACGAGTTCATTTTTTGATTGTGGTCGACCTGGAAAAGCTTCAAAAGGTCTAATATTCACAGAAGAGCTTGAAAAGGTCTTCTGTTCATAAAAGAGCTTAAGAAGGTATTATATTCATAGAAGAGCTTCAGAAAATCTTCTAGCCATAGAAAAGCTTCAGAAAGTCGTCTAGCCATAGAAGAGCTTCAGAAGGCCTTCTAGCCATAGAAGAGCTTTAGAAGGTCTTCTTTACATAGAAGAGCTTCAGAAGGTTTTCTAGCTATAGAAGAGCTTCAGAAGGTCTTCTAGCTATAGAAGAGCTTCAGAAGGTCTTCTAGCTATAGAAGAGCTTCAGAAGGTCTTCTATCAATAGAAGAGCTTCAGAAGGTCTTCTACCCATAAAAGAGCTTCAGAAGGTCTTCTACCCATAAAAGAGCTTCAGAAGGTCTTTTAGCCATAGAAGAGCTTCACAGGGTCTTCTATCCATAGAAGAGCTTCACAGGGTCTTCTATCCATAGAAGATCTTCAGAAGTTCTTCTATCCATAGAAGAGCTTCACAGGGTCTTCTATTCATAGAAGACCTTCAGAAGGTCTTCTATCCACAGAAGAGCTGTAGAAGGTCTCCGGTTCATTGAAAAGCTTCAGAAGGTCTTCTAGCCATAGAAGAGCTTCAGAAGGTCTTCTATCTATAGAAGAGCTTCAGAAGGTCTTCTACCTATAGAAGAGCTTCAGAAGGTCTCCTACCAATAGAAGAGCTTCAAAAGGTCTTCTACCTATAGAAGAGCTTCAGAAGGTCTTCTAGCTATAGAAGGGCTTCAGAAGGTCTTCTAGCTATAGAATGGCTTCAGAAGGTCTTCGAGCTATAGAAGGGCTTCAGAAGGTCTTCGAGCTATAGAAGGGCTTCAGAAGGTCTTCGAGCTATAGAAGGGCTTCAGAAGGTCTTCGAGCTGTAGAAGAGCTTCAGAAGATCTTCTAGCTATAGAAGAGCTTCAGAAGATCTTCTAGCTATAGAAGAGCTTCAGAAGATCTTCTAGCTATAGAAGAGCTTCAGAAGATCTTCTAGCTATAGAAGAGCTTCAGAAGATCTTCTAGCTATAGAAGAGCTTCAGAAGATATTCTAGCTATAGAAGAGCTTCAGAAGATATTCTAGCTATAGAAGAGCTTCAGAAGATCTTCTAGCTATAGAAGAGCTTTCGAAGATCTTCTAGCTATAGAAGAGCTTTCGAAGGTCTTCTAGCTATAGAAGAGCTTTCGAAGGTCTTCTAGCTATAGAAGAGCTTTCGAAGGTCTTCTGAAGCTCTTTTATAAATAGGTCTTCTATTTATAGAAAAGATTCGGAAGGCATTCTATTCTAGAAGACCTTTTAAAGCTAAAGATTTCCTTTGAAAAAGGAATTTCCTTTATCTTTAGAAGACCACTGGATGATCTTCATTCCATAGAAGATTCCCTACAAATCTCAGTTTCTTCTTTAGTCCTTTATTGGAAAGCCATGCTACAAATCCAACAACAAAAACAATTATGCCCACATTTTGTTGTACAACACCAGGCCAGGCGTCAAAATAATAGTTTCTTTGATGGTGGTTGGAAAATTATGCTAAGTGAGAATGTCGTGGCCAATAAAAAGGGAAAGCAGGAGGAGGGTGGCTGGCATAAAGAGATATTCGCAAACAAAAATACCAGGAGCCCATTTCGGCAAACAAAGAACAACAACAATAACAATAAAAAGGCGACAGTAATAAAATTCAAATTAACTAAAAAGCCTGCCGATGACGATTTGTCATTTTGGCCTGGTTGACAAAAGGCGACGACGTCGGCTGCTGGCTGCTCTCTTTTTGAATAACCAACAAAAATAAAAATTGCTACATATTTTCTAAATGTCTTTTGGCCTTTTAATTTCAGATATGCCACCAAATCCCAGCAGATTATGTTGTACACCGCCTCAGAGTCGTTTGATGCCACCATGGAATCACCACACCGCCGCTGTGGCAGCCGCTGCTGCAGCAGCAGCCTCAGCTGTGTCAAATGCAAATGATACAACAGCAGTAGCATCGAATTTGGGTGGCAGATCCACAACAACAACACCGGCCTCATCGGCACCACCACCCTCATCGTCGGGATCGTCGTCATCGATGCCGCCCACCTCCACAGCGGCGGCCGTTGCCGCAGCAAATGAAGCAACCTGCCTAACTGTGCCTCGCCAAAAAGTTCAAAATCTCGGTCTCATCTGCGTTGTGTGCGGCGACACCAGTTCGGGCAAACATTACGGCATTCTGGCCTGTAATGGCTGTTCGGGATTTTTCAAGCGTAGTGTGCGTCGCAAACTTATTTACAGGTTGGTATTGAATTGAGTTTGGTTTCTGTTTTTTGTTTTATTTCTCGAACGAACGAAAGCGAGTTGGAGGAACACATGGGTCCAAAGGAGGACTGTTTTGCATATTTTTGCCACCACTTAGACAAATTAAATTTTTGCCGGGGATTATTCAATTGAAAAATCACTTTCTTTCGGCTGTTGGTATTTTGCTGCCTGACGCCAGTGGCAGTCGGCATTCCAAAGTCAGAAATAATATGTTAATGTAATGCTTTGGAGGAAGAAGGTTTTTTGTAGCAATTTTGTCGGTTTTTTATTCGGGAGAGAACGAATTAATTTTAAGTTTTGAGATTAGGAATTAAAAACGCATGAATCACGTGCAGAGGCTCTGCGGCTCGGGATCTGGGAAAGAACTCAAAGGACATGTAGAGTGCTAAGAAAGGCATTTGTATGCAGATTTTTGGTAATGATCAATGAAAAGCTGCGAACGAAGTCAAAAACACGGAGTTGCAAAAAAAAAAAAAAAATCAAGTTCTGCGATTTTTTAAAAATATTTTATTGACATGTATTTTTGAAGATGTTGAAACGTGCGTTCTAGAAAATGGATTTAAAAAGATAGGGTCGGACTTTTTTTGAAAGGTTTGAATTTAAAGAAACAACAGGACAGAAAAATATCATAATATAAATATAAAGCAAAAAAAAAAGTTAAAAAGCAGTAAGTTCGGCCGGGCCGAACTTTGAATACCCTCAACCGTTTGGAATGAAATTAAAAATAAAATCCTTAAAAAAATCTGTTAGAATTTTAAAAATACCGAATATAGCCGTTATATTGGTGTCTATACGACGTGGACCCACACAGGCATTGTTTGTCATAAATCACTACCAAATTCAAATTCGGAACTTGAAATAAACGGTGAATAATGTAGATAAAATCATCAAAATATCGTATATAGGGAGGTACCGTTATATCGGAGCTGTGCGAAGACCTGGACCAGAATAGACAATTTTCTATCATAAGCTGTAGCATTCATTACGAACTTCAAATGCGACATTTCAAACAATTTCGGTGAGTATTGTACCTAAACTCGTCAAAATACCGAATATAGGGAGGTACTGGTATATGGGGCCTATACAAAGACCTGGACCTGCATAGACAATTTTCTGTCACAGACTGTAGTTTCCATTACGAACTCTAAATGCGTAATTTTGAAAATTCCGGTGCATAATGACGCTAAAATCACCAAAATACCGAATATAGGGAGGTACCGTTATATGGAGCTATACGAAGACGTGGAATTTTCTGTTTTAGGCTGTAGTATCCATTTCGAACATCAAATACCAAATTTGAAACTATTCCGGTGAATAATGTCGCTAAAATCATTAAAATACCGAATATCAAGAGGTACCGTTATATGGGGGCTATACGAAGACGTGGACCTACATGACCCATTTTCAATATCAAAAGTTCTGCAGACATAATACACATTTGAGTAAAATGTTATCAACCTTCATCATTTCGTTCGGGAGCTAGAGTGATTTCCACAGACGGACGGACGGACATCGCTTACTCGACATAGAATTTTATGCTGATCAAGGTGTTACAAAGGGAATGATAAACTTAATATATCCCCCATACTATGGTGGAGGGTATAACAAGTTAAAAGTATCAGACGGTTTTGCTGACAGATCTAAACCCTCAGTCAATGTCCGATTTTTATACCTGTCCGTCTGTGGAAATAAATCTAGCTTCCGAACGAAATGAAGTAAGTTGATAAAAATTTACTCAAATGTGTATTATGTCTGCAGGACTTTTGGTATTGAATATGGGCCATGTAGGTCCACGTTTTCATATAGCTCCCATATAACGGTACCTCCCAATATTCCGCATTTTGATGATATTAACTACATTATTCAAGGGAATTGTTTTAAATTTGGTATTTGAATTTCATAATGAATACCACAGCCTATGACAGAAAATTGTCTGTGCAGGTCCACGTCTTCGTATAGCCCCCATATAACGGTACCCCCGATATTCGGTATTTTGATGATTTTAGCGACATTAATTACCGGAATTATTTAAAATTTTGTATTTGAAGTTCGTAATGGATACTACAGCCTATGCCAGAAAATTGTCTGTGCAGTCTTATGACAAAAGTTGCGTATGCAGGTCCACGTCGTCGTATAGACCCTACATTCGGTATTTTTTTTAGATTTTAACAGAATTTTTAATGGATTTTAGTTTTTTGAAAATTGCCAATTTTGTACCAAATGATGGAGGGTATTCAAAGTTCTGCCCGGCCGAACTTACAGCTTTTTTACTTGTTTAAATATATTATGAATTTTATTTTTCATGACCCTCAATGGTAGTAGTTTCCGAAGGAATGGACCAATATTGTCCATTTCGTATCGGACCTAATTATCTATGATATAAATATTGCGATGTGCCAGGATTTAGACTATATCGACTACTTCCTTTACTTTATATTCATGAAGCTCACAAAACGTGAAATTAACATCCGATTCCAATCAGATCATTGGAACATCTCAATATTTCTATCAACACAAGATGTCGTTAAGAGATGGTAGAGATCGGACCATTTCTTCTGGTACTTCCCCCACAAAGATTACAAGTTTGGAATAACCAAAATGATTATAAAATCCGAAATAAGCATCCGGTTCTCTTCATATTTCACTATCTACTAACACAAGATCTGCTGTGAAGATGGATTATATCGGTTCACTCCCTGTGGTACCTCCCTCACAAAGGGTCAACATTTTGAATATTCAATTCTATTTACATTTCAATATTCCCGTCAACACAAGATCTGTTATAAAGATGGCAAAGATCGGACCATTTTCTGGTACCTCCCCCACAAAGGGGCAAAATTTGAATAATTATATCTCTCATAAAATGTGAAGTAAGCATCCAACTCTGTCTCTCTCTCTTTCTCTCTCTCTCTCTCTATTAACACAATATCTGGTGTGAAGATGAGATATATCGATCTACTCCTTCTAGTATCTCCTTCACAGAGGGATTAATCCAAATGCCCTAGAAATTCGAAAAAATAACGTCCGATTCTTTTCAAACTTCACACATCTCAATATTTCTACTTACACAAGATATGGTGTGAAGATGATAGTTTTCGGCCTACTCCTTGTGGAACCTCCCCCACAAACGATCACAATTTTAAATTCTTAAATCTCCCATAATTTGCGAAACAAGTCAGCGAATCTATTCAAGTCTGGTATATCTTAATATTTCTCTCAACAAGAGATCTGATGTATGATACGGACTCTGTAGCCATATGGCTGAGCGTATAAAAAAGGTAAATATAATTATACCCTACATCACAAGGTGGTCAGGGTATTATGTCTTTGTGCATTTGTTTGTAACAGGCAAAAGGAAATGAGATAGACCCATAGTTACTTTTGATGATCTGCATAGAATCACATTCTGAGTCGATTTATGCATGTCCGTCCGTCTGTCTGTCCGTCTGTCCATGTATTTTTGTAAACAAAGTACAGGTCGCATTTATTGCCCGATCCAGATGAAATCTTGCAAAGATCTTTTGTTTGGCCCAAGGTCGAACCCTATTGAAATTGGAGATAATCAGTAAAAATTTAGATATGCACCAAACGTGTAATATCAGTCCGAATAGTATGGAATTTTGCACATACAACCAAATTAGGCCTAAAAATAAGTATGCCAAATTTGATCAAAATCGGTTCAGATATAGCTATAGCTCCTATATATATGTTTCATCCGAATTGTTATTTTTGTCCTCCGCAGCCGTAATATGCACTCTGTAACAACATTATTTGGGGAAATATATCAAATACAGCTCAGAAATACATTTGCCAAATTTTATCGAGATCAGAGTTCAGATTTGTATATAGCTCCCATATATAAGTTCGTCCGATTTACCTTTTATTGTGCACCAAACGTCTAATATTTGCCCAAATGGGATGAAATTTGGCACTTACGACCGAATTGAGTCCAGAAGCTATTATGTCAAATTTGGTGAAGATCGGTTAAGATATAGCTATAGCTCCCATATATATTGTTCATCCGATTTCTACTATGTGTTACCCACAGCCGTAATATGCACTCCGTAACAACGATATTTCAGGAAATATATCATACACACCTCAGAAATATATTTGCAAAATTTTTTCGAGATCGGTTCCGATTTGGATGTAGCTCCTAAATATATCTTTGGTCCTTTGAACTTTAAATTATAATTATAATCATAGCGTGTCTGATTGAGTTCTCCCATAAAAACTTTTAATTGTTACGTGGAGCTCTACTAAATTAACAGAGTGGTGTAGGGTCGGACGGGGCCGACTTTAGGACTTTCTTTACTGGTTTTATTATTCAAGTTTCGCATTTGAATATTGTAATGGTTTATGGCAAAAGTTTCCTATGCAGGTCCACGTTGTCGGATTTTATTTTTTGCCAAAATCGTTCCAAATGCTAGAGGGTATTCAAACTTCGGGCCGGTCCGAACTTGCAGCTTTCTTACTTGTTTTTTTATCTGGGAGAATCCCAAGGAGTTATTTAAAAAAAAAATAGCTGCTATGACAAAAAACTTTTTTTATGCTTTTTTACTTTCTTTCAGAAACCTAGGAATTCCCTGCCTTACCCTCTGGTAAACATTACCATCGTTCACCACTAATAAACAAACCTCGTTTTTATAAAAACAACAATAATGGGATTCAGTATGACTATTTTGCAGCAACAAAATACTACGGTATTCGAAAAATTGCTAACACTGTTCTGTTAAAAAAATTTTCGGAATTTTTTTTAAATGAATCTTTTTAACATTTTTTTAAATGTTTTTTTTTTTTTGTCTGAAATTCCTTAATAAATAGTCCCAAAAAATCCACGACTTGTGGCCGGTTGGCAATTTAAATTCCCCATCAAAATTGTTGCATAAATAATAATATTTTTCAAATTTCTGTTCCTTTTCTTCTTCTTTATGGTAATCCACAATTTTGAATCAATGCACATTTTGGTTTGATGG